TAACCCTAACCCTAACCCTAACCCTAACCCTAACCCTAACCCTAACCCTAACCCTAACCCTAACCCTAACCCTAACCCTAACCCTAACCCTAAAATCATATACAAAGTAAGTGTTTATGACAAGTAAACCAAGTACTATATTGTATTGATTTAGTAACGCCAGGCCTTCTATACTTTTACGAAGGCGCTGTACGCCCCTTATATGGTAGATAGACTCCTGTAGATACCCCCTACGCACTTATACCCTAAAAACCGGTCAAGATTCCCAACAGAAAATTAATCCTACCACAGCTCTTATGCCAGCTCGAATTTCTATTGATCCACGAACAACTATTCGCCAGTTCTATGCGAGGTAAAAGCACGATGGATTGAGATCTCTCGATATGCCCACTTTTAGGCAGTGGCCATTCTACATTAACAGAGTGAGTAGTAGGAAACGATCGCAACGAATGCTGCAATAAATTTGCAGTGTACACTGGAAGATGATGGACTATATATATGGAATTCGACGAGTGGTTGCATTGCCGATCGTGCGAAATCTGACACATCGATTCGATCATGTAATTCGACAGTTCTGTGAAGTGGAAGGCGCTTCAAAGATTTCCAGACTAAATATTCAGCGGACAGGGCCTCCGGGACATTTGGGTGCGTAACTATATTTTATTACTAGTCCCTAACCGTCGTGTATACGAGCTGGTCACCGAGCAGGCACGCGAGCAGCGACGCACTCGTGTGACAGCGAGCCCACGTATACAAAGGTGGATGAGCTGTTAACGAGGATCACCAAAAAGCTCATATGTCAGAGCGTCGACCCTTGAGGCATCATTTCTTTGTTTTTTAAGAAATGCATATAGACGATGGTCGCCATACTAAGTGTAACGAAGACCGAATCTGGTTCCGTCGCTTTCGACGTCACTCGACCTGTAAAACACCAACAAATACTACTTGGGTTCGAGTTTAGCTCGAGGGTGTGTAATTTTGCTTCTTCTGCCTTCGAAGTGGCCTTATATAACGCCTTCAAAACATTAGCCGCTAAGAGATACTTGAGTGTGCTTTTAGAAAGAGGAAACGAATTGTTTTCATCTATTATAGTATTTGTGCGAATTTTGCCATTTTAACGCCTAATTCCTTGATGTTTTGGGAGATTCGGCTTTAAACCCCTTTTGGATCCTCGAAACGGGTAGTGAAACTGTGACTCGGGCCCAGATTAATCGTTTTCGAACATTCAAGAATGCTAGAGTAGCATATGCCCGGTCGAGTGCAAAATTGGGGTGGCCTGGGCTTGAGGAAATCTTGGTGGCTACGGCATAGGCTATAGTCTAGGTGCTTACACATGGGTGGCCAATCCAGACGTGCTTGGGAGACTAGCCGGCGTCTGCTGCGTTGGTGAGCTTTGTATTGAAGAGCTACCCGTGGGTGGAAGTTATCTAGACGACGCAGCCAGAATAGCTGCTGGTTTTATCGAGGATCACCATGGGTTCTGCGTGGCGGCAAAGGGTCTGGAACCAAACAACATGGAAACAACTTCGCCATTCCAGAAGGAACTCTAACCTGAGTACGAGAGTGTACGTCTATGCGTAAGGTACTTAGCACGTTACTCATTCTAGATATCTCATCCAGAGTCCTAACTGGGTCTTGATAGTCAATAAGTAAGGGAGATATGAATAGACTAGAATATTGTCCTGCCGTGCGAAAATCCTGCCACCCCGTGGCTATCCAGATCATGAATCCTTGTTTTAAACACGCAATATCCTACATGATAATTAGATCTTGGAACTTCTTCTCTCGCCGATGCAAAGGCGATATAAATATCATTCGTGTACATTAAGGGGAAAGATAATGTTGGTAGTCAAACCCGAAGAATTAGGTCTTATAAGTTCCAGAATTCTCTTCAAGTTTATTATGACTAAAGGTATAGTTAAAAGAAATGCAGTTCCGTCTAAATTCGTGGCCATCGCCAATTTAATGCCATCAGCATCTTTGGATGTATAGGAAACCCGACCCTAAAAATCCTTCACAATATTGTCCCGCAAACTCTAACCCTGTCTAGCCCTAGAATTTTCTAACCATTTTCCCTTTTTACGATGACATATCATAAGTCTCATGTTGCGGCGAGGGATTCGGTAAAGTCCCTTGCATGTTATGTGGGCGTGCCTTGAAAATGTACTGTGAAGTGGCTATCACGCCTTAACGTTGAGCGCCCAACCGGAGCGGTAGATCCTCAGCGCTGCGTACATAAAGCCCGACAAAGCTGCCGCAGCGCCGCCGAATCCCCATAGACCGTGCCATTGTAAAGGCTTCGTTCCGCCGAGGATAGCTCCAGCTACTGGGCTACCCACCAGAAGACCCAGAGCGATGATACCAAAGCCCATACCTATTCTTGTTCCCAGCTTTGACTTGTCTTTGGTCAGAGGGAAGAAGCATACGGGTGGCATAGCGATGAAAACGCCGCTGAAGAACCCTGCGAGTACTGCGATCGTGATTACCGCGCCTTTAGTGTTCGCAACCATGAAACAGAGCATCAGGACACCGGTTATGAGAGCACACGGCGCGACGACGTTAAACGGGCCGATCTTATCCGAAACGGCGTTGGGGACGATTCGGCCGAAGCAGGATGCGGCGTTGAAGATAGGGACTATGTAGAAGGAAAGAGCTTCATCAGTGATGCCTCGTTCCTGGGGGTAGAACGAGATATAGAAGATGAGAATGCTGAGACCCATGAAGCCGATAAAAGTGGTAATTGTGAAGGCCATATAGGGGATATCGCGGAAAGCAGTCCAGTCGATCATGGATCTGGGCTTCGGGGACTTGAATCGCATCCTCATAATGCATATTGGGATAAGCAGAGTTCCCAGAGCGATGAAGCCCATAACACGGACAGACCAGGCGTATCCAATCTTGCCGATGAGCTGATACAAGACGACGGGATATATAATTCCGCCGACGGAAGAGCCTGCTGATGCTAGACCCAGAGCAAGGCCGAGCTTAGTGGTGAAGTAAGTAGGGATGAGAGATACGCAAGGTACAAACAGCATCCCTGCTCCCAATCCGACACAGAGACCTTGGGCGAGTATTACTTGCCAGTATTCCTTACACAAGCTTAACATCATGTGACCAAACACGATGGCGAAGCTTCCAACGATCAGCAGATGTCGTAAGTAGCCCCTGTCGTAGATGGGGCCGGCGAAAACACCACCGACCAGAACCATGAAGGATTGAATCGCACCAATCCATGAGATATCCGATGACGATCGATGGAAGAGCGCGCCGGATTCGTAGTACGTCTGGAAAACGCCGAAGGCATTCAAGATACCCCACGTGTTAAAAAACAACATGCAGCCACCGACCACATGGAGCCAGGCAACGAGGCCGCCATTGGGAGGTGGTGGGGGACCCGCTCTTTGCGGCTCAACGGGTGCGGGCCGCGCCTGGTTTTCGATCTCGTCCGGGGCTTCTTGGGTCTTATCGTTGGTGGCATCGGCCTTCTCGCTTCCGGCTACGAAACTGGTGTTGGAGATGGTAACATCTTCGGAGTCGCTCCTGTGCGTATGCTGAGTGTCTGAGTGGAGAGCCATCACGGCGGCGGCGGTGGTGATGTTGTTTACGATAATACAATTGTCAGGAAAATTGTAGATATGATGAGAACAAGGAATTGGGGAGACAAGATTGTAAAATACCAGCCGTATGGTCCTGTAGACTCTTGTATAGGGCTTGGGGAACTACGTTTTTTCTATGCTCGGAGCTTCGGAACTAAGACAAATTGAATGAGTGTCTGATTTTTTTTGTCTTATTTGTTCCTCGTCTATTTGAAGGAAAGAAAATGGGACCAGTGACGTAAGTAGTATATGCCAAAACACGCGCGCATTGAACCAGCAGTCTATACCGACTGCCGAAGCTTAATAAAGGATTAAGCAAGCAGTGAAGATCCAATATTATTTGAAGCATCTTGAAAACGCTGACGTGTACCAGATATCTCCCTGAAGCTTTCTTACGTGTGGACTGCTTGGAGGGTCACCTATTGGAATTCCACACGCCGTTTATGATGACTCAGGCAGCCATGGCTTAACATAGGATTTTTTATTATTTTTAACTCCCCATGCCAACTGTGGCAGCTGGAACGATTCTGAAATTTTTCTAACTACCTAACCTAGGTATTTTAAGAAAAATTTAGTTCTTTTTTTCTATCATAGCAAACTCGTCGCTTTGGAAGTATTCCTGATTGTACTTTAGATGTGATCTAGGTTTGATGATTAGAAACTCCGAGCCGTAGCTCGGATATCGAGAAACAACAGAGCCAACATATCGTTTCTTCCTATCGTTTCTTGATAGGCTGATTCATTCAACTAATCCAACGGATTAAGTAAGACCTTCTCTTGGCAGAGTCTCCTACACGGGTAATTGTTGTTAGGAACTTCATTCCGTACCTTTTACAGGTACGGCATAATGCGACAATACAAGACACTGCATCGTCTATCTATTTTTAAGAGATTACATGTGGGACGCCAATGTGCGAGTATCTCATGACGCCCAAAGTACAGCTGCCCAAAGTAGTTCTTGATATATTCTTTATTCCGTATTATGCGGATCTCCGAGATCCGAGGCGACCATCTTAGACTCCGCTAACTCCGCCGGCTCGGATAAAACACGCAGACGCTGTAGTACCTAAGCATCCTCTAAGTAGCGCGAAGTACGATTTGTCCGCAGTTACGACTCCGCGGCTTTCTATGCGATCTCGTCTCGGCTGCGGAGGTATCCGGATAGCGAGTGCTATTCGGCGGCTTTCCGTACGTACATACATTTAGACACCAACACATCTACTATAGGAAAGGAAGTAAAGCAATCTATCTGCAACACATGTCACATATAACATACAGCAGTGACATCGCCCATGGCTTTCGGTCTTTCGAGCAAGCAGTTCTCGCAAACGTTCTTAAGGCTCAGCGCCACCCGCCAGATAAGTTCCAGATTTCTCCCGACATCTTCTATCATCTCTAATAACCACTTGGCCACTATTCTATCATCTCCTCGCCGGTCTGCTAATTATACGCAACAACAACAACGACGACGACGACGACGACAACCGTCCAGAGGATTTACGCATACGAGAAGCAAGATGGCCACTAACAACGCCGCCTGGATTAAAGAGGCGAAAGCCCACCCTTTCGTGGTCGAGCCCGCTCCCGTTTGGACCCCAGAGGCTAACGAGGTTCTCGTGAAAAACCATGCCGTCGCTATCAATCCCGTCGATGGCTCCCTCCAAGCTGCCGGCTGGTGGCCTCTCGATTACCCCACCGTGCTAGGCCAGGATGTTTCCGGTGTTATCGCTGCCGTTGGCCCTAGTGTCTCCGCCTTCAAAGTGGGCGACCGTGTTGTTGGCCATGCTCTTGGCATGGCTAGCAAACGTAGACAGGATGGTGGTTTCCAAGAGTACACAATTCTGCAGACTAATATGACAACCTTGCTCCCCGATAACATCCCCTTTGAGAAGGCTGCAGTCCTCCCTCTGGCTCTATCTACTGCCGCCTGCGCTCTCTACCAAGAGACCCACCTGAAGCTTCAACTCCCTACCGTCCCCCCGCAAAAGCCCACAGGTAAGACGTTGGTTGTCTGGGGTGGCTCCTCAGCGGTTGGAAGCAATGCCATCCAACTCGCCGTGAATTCCGGCTACGAAGTCGTCACTACCGCGTCCCGCAAGAACTTTGACTACGTGAAGAAGCTAGGTGCCAGCCAAGCCTTTGACTACTCTAGCTCAACCGTCCAAGACGACTTAATCAAGGCCCTCGAGGGCAAGACTACCGCTGGCGCTCTCGACTGCATTGGAGGTGCGCCTCACGGAATCCTGCAGCAGGTCATCGCCAACTCCGAGGGTGTAAAGGCTGTGGCGTCTACTAAGCGGGGTTGGCCTGAGCCACCGGCGGGAGTTACTATGTACTCCATCTTCGGCACCTCCCTTAGTAGCAACTTCGTTGGAAAGGCGATCTACAACGACTTCTTACCTGCGGCGCTGAGAGAAGGTACTTTCGTACCAGCACCTGAACCAAAGATCGTCGGCAACGGCGTCGAGAAGATACAAGAGGCTGTTGACTTGATTAAGAAAGGTGTCTCGGCCACCAAATTGGTTGTCACTCTCTGAGTGGAGGTATACCCACATATGTTGAGACAGACAGGCGTACGCTGCAGAACGTAGTGAAACCTTGAAGGTATCCCTATACCGCTACCTACCATGACGCTGTTGGCGCCGTGTATTGGTGTTGGTCTTGAATCTGACTATCAAAAAGATTAGAGATTTAGATTCAGAAAGAAGAAAATTCAATAAGTTGCCATGTGCTTCCGCGTCCCGCGTTGCAGGTCTGGACCACTTGACGTGCCTCGTTTTCTTATAATCCGACATGCATCAAGCCGTTGCAGCATATTACGGCGATGATGAGATCTTGCTCCTCTAAGCTGTGTGGCAAAGAAGCCTTTTATTCGCAAGGGTTGTGTGATGCTTACCCGTCAACCGGACTCCGCACTCGTGGTTTTCCTTTTCCCAAGCCGTCCACTAGCGTCGGGTCTCGGAAGAAAGACGCAGCGGTTCCAACTCCGTTCCACGACAATTGGCCGAGACAGATTCTAATATATCGGCGGAAATTATAGGCGCCTTCCGACTTACACGTATGTGGCGCTTCAAGATGGACATCTCATTGGCTTCATAGGTATAGCCGACGATTGAGCGGAGCCACTCCCGCAGATCATACCGGCAACGCGTCAAACACCACATTCGATATATGTTTGGTCTAAAGCAAGTTTCTGCAACGATCTTGAGATGATATAAAACGGCAACTGGGAGTGGATAACATCTAGCGGTGAGGTGAACATCGTAATTAACGTGTGGCTGGCTGAGTCAGGTTAAGGACTAGCCCGCTATCTTTAGCCGAAAGAGGCGATACTTGTGTTGTGCAGCAGCTTCTGTACCATGCTTGTCTCGGTGTTACATAAGGTATTCTGCCCGATTATCTTAGGTTGCATAGGTACCTTATACGTGTCATATCGGGTGAGCCGGGGAGGCGACATGTATACATATGGGAGTGAAACTCTTGGGAGTATGGTATATTCTGTCAACAATGTACCTTCTGTAGCTATAGAAAAATGTGAGGTCAAGTAAACTCCGTAACCCCGTCTCGTTGCTTACTGTCGCCCAAAAGATACGGCGGAGATGGAGTAAACAAGCTCGATATAGGTAGAATCAAGAAGCATATATACCCTTCGGTATCTAGTGCTATTCCATGCAATCCTCTCCCTGTTCATCAAGCTTCCCCTGCCCTAGTAATAGCCTATACACTGACTAATCATACTAGGAGAGCAATCGTGGGGAGTGGAAAACCATGTGGGGTTATAAGCCCTGTCCTCCGACGCATGCAGGGTCCTTTTATCCTTGAGTTATTACCCATACCGCTGGGAGTCCTAGGGTACCTAACCTAACCTTTCGGTGGTTACTCCCTCACTACTCTCACACCCCTAGCTCGAACGTTACGCCATGGAGGGGCAAAAGGGTGTAAGATGACGGGATGGCCGTTGGATATAAGCTTAATTAGTACTTTCGATGTGACTTTAGCATGCAAGTGAGGCGAACCGTGCATTGTAACATGGGCTGATCGATTTACAGGATCGGTATGTACTGGAGATCTTAATTGGCGGGACTTGACGTACTTGATATGCAACACATATACATATCCTTTGCCGATACCGTAACCTGTCACTTACACGTGTGTATAACCCGTAGATGACTTACAGCTCAGGTACAATATACTTATGTAACTGATAAGATATCCAAATTATTTCGAAACGCAATTCTAAACTCTTGATGGTTTCGTGTATTTCATGCGTTGATTGTTTCAAGGTATAGTTTGTGTCAACTACGAATGGGCATAATAGGAAATTTAGAAGTTCAAGATCCCGGGAGGTATGCTGACAACACATGGTTACCTGAAATCCCAACCCAACGGTCTGCACGCTTAGTTGTGTGTCATGTGTACACAAAAACGATCGGGACCGAACCAAGACTCCACATGTAAATTCTCACCACATGGCAGTCTTCGCTTTGCTATTTTTAAGCCCATCCATAACTTCGATCCCGTTAATCAACCTCAATACTGAGTGGTGTCGGGCGGGATCGATCAAGTCAAAATGTGTTTGACGGGATTTGAATCTGGGGAGTGGGGAGGTCATTGTAAAATGATGATATAATGCCTTTTCATCCACTTCATTTTACGTTTTAGCTTGTACATTAGGGCATTATCTTGCATGAATAGATTGTCCTGTTCGTATAGAGGTAGCATGCCTTGTCATAAAACTTGAATAGATATACGATTTAGCCATCACGCCGTCCTGAGGAGCCTTAGGGTTATCCTTAACTAATATAAGTCTACTCTTGCTAAGCTTGTTACGTAATTAAATCATCACCTAAACCATTTTAAAGGTAGTAGGCTTGACGTACGTTTAAATGTTTACAAGGTCATTCCGAAATTGTTAATCATATACGCTTTATAACATGCCATTTCTTTAAAAGCTTTTTGTTAAGGATATATCGTATTGTTAACCAAAGCTGGCTTAAAAAACAAGGTTTTAAACCCGGATACGAGGGAATTGCCACGTTAACGTAATAATGTAACAACGTAGTGGATCACTATAAGGTTTACAGCCTTCTCCTAGTAAATTGTTCAAGGTATAGTGTTTATCAAATCGTTGAATTATATTCAATGTACAATCTTAAATTGTGTAAACTACCTATATCAAAGCACTGGTATCATACCGTTTATCAACGTCATGAAGCACCATGATCATAGCGTATTAAAAAATAATCGGGACATTGTCATCCCCTTACGGTAACCTCCGCCAGCCCCAAAAGTTGCTCCATATTTGACATAATTACCTTACATGGCTTGTTCCAGATCGTCGTCGCCTTATTCCTTAGCCTCCCTTCCTTAGCCTGCTTTACAAGGTTAAGAGGCATAGTAGAAAAGAAATATAATTAGATGTTAGGAACTATCTATTCACAACAAGTAGTAAAGCTTAAATAGTCGATATGGCTTGCAAAGTTGGCTGGCTAGCCGGCACATTATATTGCATACCGCGTATCACGTATCACAAATTGTTGCACAACGCAAAAGTTAAGCGTAACCATGGTGAACCAGATACAATGCGCTACGCGCGCAACCTTATCAATTACACTACGTACCGTGCATATTTTACGTAAGCACCATACAATTCCTTATCGATTACCTTAAATACCTTATCAATTTGCAAAAAGTCTATGTAAACTCATAATTCCTTCGGAAAGTTAATTCCATCCGAAAGACAACTCCTTCGGGAAGATTAAACTCCGCATCCATGAAGAAACAATCCACGGACCATAAGATGGAAGTATATTATATCCGGTTATTCGTGATATTCACTAAAGTACCCCACAGCAAGATACCAAGATACCTACACTATGGTCAAATCATTTCTAAATGTAGTTAAGGCCTTGTGGTTCGTACTTTAGAATGAATCGTTTCTCAGTGGGTGCGGTAGATACACCCCGCGCTATCGAGCTGTATATACGCCCTTGTAATAATGTTATTTAGCGGACCCTTAAAGCTACTTGCTAAGATCCTAAAGCGTATGTCTACTGCCGCCCTATGGAGTTGTCGTAGTTCTTCGAAAACATCGTTTCAGAGTGATTTATGTTATAAAGCCCTGGTATAAAACCCTGGTATAATAGTTGAGATGTTTTAAAGGCGTTGTTCTATTCAGACTTAAAAGCCCTGTTCTATATCGTGCACGTCCGAAAAGCTAGCACTATGACAAGGGGCGTACGGTATACTGCCTATGTAATATTGTGCCCACATTGCTGAAGTAACCAAGACGGTTCCTTTACTAACTTACCTCAGACCTTAAACGGCGTATAAAATGGCCCATTTTATCTACTTATAATTAGTGGATAAAAAAACCGCATACCCAACTCCACTTTTAGCTTTTTTCGAAAAATTTAACTTTATTATTTAAAATAACTTTATTTTTAAATAATAGTTTATACTTTAAAACGTAGTTAAAAAATTTATAAAAAATATATAATACCTTACACGAGGAATAAAATATAAGTACGATTTTAAACGGGTTAAAAATCTACGAAAGTAGCGAGAATTAAAGGATTTTTTATATTTATTTACTATATAATTAAAAAACGCTTTTCCCATTAAAATTAAAGTTTTTTCCGTTTAATTATAATTATTTAAAAGTAATAAATAAATACAATAAAAAATAATTATTAAATATTGTTAAAAAAATTTTATATTATTTAATTTATTAAAAAAAAGAGTATTGTTTAATTTATTTATTAAGGATTATTAGTTAATTTTTAATTAATAAAGTTATATTTATTAAAAAAACATATTAAAGTCAAATATAAATAAACTTATAAAAATTATAATAAACCATTTAATTATTAATAATAAGTTTTATTTATAAATAAAGTTATAATTAAATGTGATTAAGGTTTATGTTAAGGGTGAATTTTTAAACTTAAAAGTAAGTTAATTTTTTTAAATACCTTATAACTTTAACAATTAATTACATAATTAATTCTTAACCGTTTTTTTTAAATTAAGTTTATTAATTATAAATTTGAAATACGTATAAGTTTATTATAAAAAAACTTAATATTTTAAAATATTTTAAGGTGTAATTTGCTACGAAATAAAAAGCGATATTATAATTTTTAACGAAGACCTTAAAGTATTTAAAAGTAATATTATATTTATTATTTATCGAAATATTTTTAAAAATAACTTATTACGGTTATTAAAGCTTAATATCGTTTTTGTGTATAATAATGTATTTATTTATACTTTATAATTGTTAAAAAATTAATTTAAAAATTTTAAGTTCCCCGTTTTAAAATGGCTTTTTTATAGTCCCGATTTAAATTTTATCGAAAATTTATAAGCTTGGTTAAAATAAAAGATTAATAAGCGATACTTTAAATTAAAAGCTTTTTTAAAGATTAATAAAGCTTTAATTAAATTAATTAAAATTATTAAAAGGTATTAAGCTGACGTTTTTTAAGATATAATAAATAATTTAATAAATTTAATGTTTAATTAAAAGTTAATATATAAAATATTAAAAAATATATTTATATATTATTATTATTTAATTATTTATATGTAAAATTTCAATTAATTTAAATACGTTATTATTAAATTATAAATAAATTAAATAAATATGTAATATTGTAAATGTTGATGATTTTAGTGGGGTATGCGGTTTTTTTGTCTATTGATTGTATTTATACGTTTAGCTAACCGGCTAACCGGCTTATCTAGTTGGTAACCCACGCCTACATAGCCGTTATCACTCACGTGGCGGATTGAAAAAGTACCAACAGCTAAAGGCCGGGTTCGGTTCCTATTATCTCTAAGCGTAGTAGCACATGGTCGTGTAACATGGCGCGGATGTTCGAAGTTAAGCTTATACACTACTTATCAGGGGTACCTCATTCTAGACTTTTTTTTTTTTTTTACATACTCCTCTGCAATAGCGAGTTCGAACTACGTCGCGAATCCTGTGGCGATCACTCACCCCAAAGGTAAACATGTATCCTACAAAGGTTAATTCGTCATCTGTTCACCACCTCTAGGCAGGTTTTGGTCAGCAAACCCCCTGAAACTACATCCTCAGGGTCAGCCTGGTCATAAAATGGACTGAGAATTCTATTCTTAAGACTCTTGTAGGTAGGCTACCTCTTAGCTTAGGTATGTATCTGATATGTAGGAGACACCTCACGCATTAATGGGTAGGTAGGTAGATAGCTGCAGAGTTTCTCAGCAGCATCGTCACTCATTCCTATAGATACATAACCTATAACACTTGGTCCCCACAGCAGAGATTGCTTTTATTTTTACGTAGCTTGTCTTTAGTCCAAGAGGATCCCTATAAACTTCTAGCTCCCCAAGATTGTTGCAAATTAACCAAGTCAAGTCCCACTGCCGTAATAAGTAAAGTTCTATTTCCCTTTCCCACCGATATGCCTCAGCCAGTCGACCTCAGCGTCAAGACGTCGACGCCGCCAACACGACAGAACCCAGGTGCAGGTATGATATATGAGTCTCTTAACCATCCATTCGTAGCAGAACATGTTGTTTTTGTCCTACGCATACGACATTGATACTTCTCCTCAAGGCTCTCATGTTCAGCAGGTACGAGGAGCGATACCTTAGAGTGATGGTCATTGGGCAAATCCACACGTCTTACTATAGGTCGACGATTAAATTTTCAATATATTTGTCTTGCGTGTTACTAATTTACGTTTATTATATAGCTTGTGAAGAATGCCGTCGTCGTAAGGTCCGATGTGATCGGCAACAGCCTGCGTGTGGCCTCTGCCTGTCATCCGGCGTACAATGTCAAGTTACAACCCCTCGTCCTCCTCGTGGTCCCAAGCGCGGCTATTTAAAAGCGCTACAAGCTCGCATCGGTACGTGCTGCAGTGCCTCAAATACCATTTTGACCTGTCCGTGGTAGATTGTATTACGGAATAAGGGCGGCTTCGATTCATGTCCCGACCAGTCTCATGCTAACGCTTTTATCCTCGATTTAGCTACCCTCGAAGGATCACTGCTTCAACAGCAGCAGCAGCAGCAACAGCAACAACAGCCTTCTAGCAACTGCAGCAATACGATGTCAATATCTCCCGTAGATACCTCGCTTGAAGGTCTCGCATTCAACGACCCCTCGTCCTTAACGTGGGACTTTGCCGTCACTGCTGATGAAGACGCGACACTCCGTGATCTATGTCGGGGAACAGGGCCCAGCACAACGTCAGGGGGATCTTCGTTAGACGAGGGTTCAGCCCAAGCCTCGACATCACCTATACGAGGATTCGAGACTCTTAGCGATGGGATAGGTTTCGCGGACGCGACAATGCCTCGAAAGATGTCGGAAATGTCGGATGGGTTAGACGGACTCAACATATCAAATTTGATGCAGGCAGATTTGTAAGTCCATCGATCTCGACTCTTCTCTTACTCTCGTAGCTTTTGCCTTACTTCAGGCAGAGATCAACTCTACTTTGACAGAGTGCACCTCTTTGCGCCTATACTCCACCAACGCCGGTATTTCTCCTGGGCTCGTAACATAGCTAAGGCGGGAGCTCAATCATGCCTCCGCTATGCCATGTGGACCTTGGCTGCATCCGTGTCAGCACACTATCAGAACATCGGCGACTCCCTATATCGTTGTACCAAGCAGGCTCTCGAGGCTCTCGACCCGAAATGCGTAGGTATTACGATGACCGAGATAGAGAAAGTCCAGGCCTGGCTCCTCCTGGCAATCCACGAATTCATGTGCGTCGATTTTAGCAAAGGCTGGGAGAGCGCCGGCCGCGCCTTTACACTAATTCAACTCAACTGGCATCATTATACGAGTGGGTCAGACGTAAGCTTGACGCGAGAGGACTGGGTCGACGCGGAGCAGAAGAGGAGGACATTCTGGCTAGCGTACTGCCTAGACCGGTTTATTAGTATCCGGAATAATTCGCCCGTGACTTTTAGCGAACAGGTAATAGTCAAAAATCCCCTAGTGGTTTAGTTGACATCGACTTGGTGCTGACTTGCTGCCCTCCTTAACTAGAATACAATACGTCTACCAGCGCCAGAAGTAGATTTTCAGAACGAACAGCCTACTGTAAGCAGATTTCTTTCGGAAGCAATAACAGCAATGGATGCCAAATGTACCTCAGCATTTGCCGAATGTATCGTTGTCGCAACCGTCGTCGGCCGAGCACTCAACCACGGACAGCAATCAGTTGTCGATAACATGTATATTCACGAGTCACAAGGCTTTTGGGAACAACACGAATGGATCAATTCCACGGTGGTACAACGGATGGATATGTTCAACCAGAATTGTCCCACTGCCGCGCAAGAAGCGGATCCGATGCTCCTATTTATCAGCATGATGTGGCGAACGACGGTACTCTATATGTATCAACTTATTAAGTTGGTGATACACCCCTCAGACGAAAAGAGATCTGTCTTGGCGGATTACACCAGGCAATCTACAACAGCGGCCAAGGAGATCGTGAATCTGACTAATAAATTATCACAATTGAATTCTTTCAAGGCTAGTCTAACGATCTCTTACCTCCTAATCACACTATTCCCATCTCTCGTTGATGTCTATCAGTATCGAGCATCCGTATGCTAACAGTCTCTACTAGGTACATCCATTTACACCAATACCGTTATCGTTATGCGCCGAGTTTTTCGTCACTTATCACGAGCTGGGCGATACGTACGGCAAACAGCTCCAGGAAATTACAGAAGCCATGCACGGTTTAATGAGTTTTAGTAATCTTGGGCCAGGTTTTAGTTCCTACGCTAGATAAAGAGGAAATCTTGTGTATAGTGTGTATCACAGTCTCAAACTGTATAATTTAACTTTAGTCCTCAAAGTAGGCGGTAACAATCTCGTGAAGTTTTTGGATTGGCGATGTTTACAGACTTTACAGACAACCCACACTAGAGCAGAAGAGTCCCGAGACAAAAAGCAAATATTAAGCTATGTACATACTGTATTAAGGATTTTAGTGTCCTGTGTCTCGTCTTCTTTCGGCAAGATCGTCTTCCCGTTGACAAGCTGAGTTTGAAACTCTTAGGTGAGCTAGTGCAGCTACGTTCTATTAAGCCCACTGCCCTAGGTACGCCTAAGATGCGGATGGTTATATCAAGTCCAAAACTCTGGCCATGTGGATCTGTCCTGAATCTATCAGGATCTGGCAATTCATCATTTGAATACTGCCACGCACAGCGATCCCGAATTAACTCCTTCATAGAAGTAATACTACATCCTTTTCTCTACGGGTGTATTATAGCGCGATTTAATTACTTTCGTTTACTAATATGATGTAGAATATCTCTGGATAAAATGCCTCAATTCTCTCGTACTCTACTCCTTGCGGTAATGTAATACGGACGGAGCTCTCGTGCTACCTTTACAGCGCCGCATGACGCGTGGTTGAACTGCAAGTAAGTCTTACGTACATTTGTAAAAGGTGAAGGGATAATGGATAAGGGAAGATTTACAGCAGAGCATCAGCTTGGGTTATATCGGTATACCTATTAGTAGATTTAATATCCGATATCGATTTAAGCAGGCGTCGGGGCTGGGGCCACGCTACTGCTGTGTTACCAACTTTATATCGGTGTATTAGCTAGCGGTTACGGCAATGAACTACCTAGGTAGCTGACTAGCTGGACCGGGCCGTTGGAGCTAAGAGCCTTAAAGGCGTCAGAATAAAAATTGAACCGTATTTTAGGGATGTTCCGATATAACGTACCGTCTATGGCATAGAACTTGCAGTCAGCCGTTCGCGTTATTTTCTGTCGACGAATATTAATTGCGATTGCTTATGTATACATAGAAAAATAATTCCGGTGCAGGAAACTATGTTGGGAATAAAATGTATAACGAACAGAGAGAAGGTAAGCCGGATGTATCTGGGAAGTACATAACCCGTAAGCAGCGTTGTCGTGTACTTCTAAGCGGTAGAAGGTATGTCTTATCGCTGACGATGTCTTTGCCAACTCCGTTCATGCGTATGTCTCTATTGCCCGAGCCTCGTATTGTCAACTACACTACATTACAACTATTAAGTGCTTGGAATGCAGCTTGATCTTGGCTAACACGCCCGGCCTTATGATTCTGATGTCTTCAAAAAAAAAATTTTTAAACCGAAATAGAAAGCCTTCTTTTTTGGTCCACATAATAGATGCATACCGCTCTTCTTATACACCAATGTGCCTATTGGATGTAGACGGGAATATGACACGCTTGGTGAACTCCCGGCCTACCTAGGCTGGTGAGCCCTTATGAAGCCACAACTATAGCCACGTCAGCCACGCAGAATGCACCAATCATATAACCCTAAAAATATATACGTATACCCCTAAGGTACGTATTTGTTACATTAGGTACGCAAAAAATAAAAAATAAAAATTTACGATCTACCCAAGCCAGGTCAAGCTATTAACTGACTCATCGAAATCGTTGACTTAACTCATGTATATTCCAATAATTACCAAAGGTGTAGCTATATGATATATGCAAGGTTTGCCCACATAAAATATTGTGACTTGAGCCTATCGCGTGGAAAGAGGCGGAACCCGAACTGACCAGCAATTTAGAAAAAGGCCATGTGGGAGGATTGGGGCTCTATATCCTGGTTTGAGTTTATTTTATGTATTCAGCTTTATTAATAAGCTATGAGGACTATCCCCTATGCTATGGTGGTTTTATATGAGGCACACATAGCTACTACTCCTTTGTATACAAAAATACCAACACAATTACTCGACTCTAATCCCTTTCCCGTAAATAGTAAGTGTGTGGTATTCGTTTCTATTCTATAGCCGAGGAGATATGATTTCCTTACACTGTGGAGTTAGAATGGATCATATAGCAGATAAAACATATGTATCTAGCCGATTCACATGCGCGACTATGTAACTACATTGCTATACACGCCTCATGCCACAAGGTGGGACAAGAAGCTAGGAAACAACATCGCTGTTGCGCGAGAAACTCTAAACTAGACAAGGGAGCCTACGGCTATACATACTAATAGTGTTCTTTGATCTAGATGTCTCATCTAGAATCCTGATACACCGCATAGGCAGGCAAATTACCAAGACTCGGAGCTATCTACCGCTCTAAAGCAGCAATGATCCTCGGAAGAAGCTGGCTGGTAATGTTCCATAGCTGGGAAGACCCGGTAACGAGGAGTGAACCCGTGTACCAAGTGTTGCGGTAACCCTGCAGGGAGTATACGTCGCGGTAGATGCCTTTACGAATGGCGTCCGCACTAGCAGTCGGGTGCAGCGGTGTGTGGCTCTTAAAAGCCATGAAAATCGGCTCGGCATTCACATCTGCACCCGTCACCGTCTTCTGCAAGCGCTTGAGCGTGTCGCGCGTGTCCGTCTCTACCTGATTCTTCGTCAGGTCCGAGAGGGATGTATACCAGTAGTAATACGTCCCCTCTACCTTTGTCGGGTTGAACATTACGACTCCCGGCACACTCGCTATGTGGGACTCCGTCTGCTGTCCCCGGTTCACGTAGCTATAATTCGTCGGTAGCCCCAAGTTTGTCACAACTCCTGTGTAGTAGCATCCCCCCTCGAACTGCGATATGATGTTCGTTTCACGCTCATCCAGGCCGAATGGCTTTAGGTTCTCTAGCACGGGCGGTGCCGAAAATACTAGCTGCTTGGCGATTACACGTTTATTTCCTCTAGGGGTCGATACGCAGAGCCTCACACCGTCGGTGGGCTTACTACCTCGTTGGCCTCCGGTCACAACAGAGTTGAGGAGAACGTCGGAACCGAGCTCGGCCAGGGCTTTACTATAAGGTTCAGCTAAATCGCTGTTCGAATTGACAATGATCTTGCCCTCTAGCTCTTCTTCCAGCATGACCGTGTTGAGATTATTAAAGACATATAAGGCGAGGATTTTAGTTATGTCACCGGAGACGGCCGGCCTGGAGTACGTGGCAATAGCCTCGTCGGTAAGATTGAACTGTTCCAAGTACTCAGCCCAAGTCAGGAGCAACTCCTCAGGCACTGGGTCGGGCAGCTCGAGGCCGTTTTCCAGATAGGGGTACTTGTGGAGCGCCTGGAAGTAGTCTTCACCAGGAGGAGGGATGGAGTAGTTCAAAACAGGTGAGCCATCCGTAAAGTCGATATATAGCGGAGTCTTGCTATCGGGGAATGTTCCTCTGCTGACGGTTATATTGAGAAGGGCAAAAAAGGAGCGGCCGATCTGGTCATCATAGTACAGCTGCACGCCGTAATTGATAGGGGTTCCTGTTGCAGGGTCATGGTACGTGGAGGCGTGACCGCCTAACGCTCCATGTTTCTCGATGACGACAATAGACTTTCCCTGGTCTTTAAGGTTGATAGCCGCATAAGTGCCTGTCGCACCTCCGCCGACGATGGCGATGTCGCGAGTTATCACCTCGGCACCTTGACACCGGCCGTGAACATCCCTCGCCAATACCGACGCAACAAATGAGAAGCTGCTACCCCATTTAATAGGCTTCATTGTAAAATACCCTAACTCGATATCTACCAGGACCAAGCAAGAGAGATGGATGACTTTGCCAAGAATGTGCAACTAGCTTGGCTCACGATAGGGTTGAGAGTTGGAGCTGCTTTACTAAGATGAATATTCATATCCCATTTATAATGCCCATTTCTCTCCCAGGACCTCTTATCAACATTATCTTTTGGGGCTATGCTACCAAGGAATATGGCTACCTGGCGAGCGGCTCGGCTGGGCCTTTTCATCAAGTTTGAGTAGTATGCTGACCCTAGCAACTCTTGTGGCTTCGTATCTGACATTTTCCACACTAAAATAGAAAGATAAGCTCGCCGGCGAGGTTGCAATAGGTGCAAACAACCGAACAAATCTGTGGCGTCCGCCAATTCAACCATCAAAGTGGGGGTGGCATTGTGATTACCTAGTTCTGAGGTATGTTTGGTGTCATCTTGCATCTAGCTGAAGAAATAATCTCAAATGTTAGAACATATATGTCGGATCCTCTTTCTGTTACTTTCGGAAAGGTTCTTCGGGGGTAATTAAGCCTTCCGCATAGATGATAAGTTCATATTAATACTTAATCATTATATCTTTATATGCTACACTTCGGACTTACTTGGCGGTATTAGGAGAGGAAAGGCGCCTGCTTCCGGGTCAGATTCTATAATGCACCGTCTAGTCTTGTGTAGTTGTGTCACGGCCATTGTTATCGGTTACGTAGGCTTTGTTCAAAAAAGTTGGCAGAGCAGCATGGAGCCTGTTGACCGGTCAGGTAACACGGCGTTCGTCGGCGGCGAGAGCTCGGTCCCTCAACTAGGAAGGTTTATCCAGACGCCATTGATCACGGTCACAAGACTGAAAAAGCATTTTCAATACGCCAGTCGAGGCAAGTCTCCTAAAACTCTATGTTGCTTATGACCTCGAAAAATGGGGTTGTTTGTGATAGTATTTGGCACGTCTTAGGAACGGATTCTTCAAGATCTGTTACACGAACAATATGTGGCTTTTCAAGGTCTTCGATGGCAAAGTAGTGTAGTGGATAGGCAATGCAGGGCCACTTAGGGTCACCGAAACATTTTTGGCTAGACCCCTTGAGATCTCGGGATCTCAGCCTTATAGAAAAATAAACCTAGTCTCCAAGGGTTCTCGCGTAAATTATGAGATGCTCTCAAGCCAGTCATACATCGCATAGCTGTTTCACAAATAATCTTCAACGACAAGGAGCTAAAGAGTTACGCGAAGGTCATAATATACTATTTTAGTCCGCAAATCTATCTTATAATATCGTCTAAGATGAGGGTGTGTAGGTAGTTAGTGTCACAATCATCGTGTACCCCAGGATTCCGATACCATGGATCTATGACTGCATTACTACCTACCTACCTACCTAGATACAAGCTTGCTTGCCATGTGCCTCTTGTTCTTACGGTAATAGTTTTGTTGGTTTTAAATGCTAAGTGTTTCGTACGGCACGAACCCCAAGCTTCCAGTACATGATGTTCATAACGTTGTCTACATTTATGCTAAAATGGCTTTAGGGGTACAATACACGTACATTACTGCCTAGGTAGTATTATAGACTGAAATGACGGCAATGCGAACTCGAGAAGCTTATATGTTACTAGCGAACTTGCAATCAAAAATCGTCGTCAAGACATGAACAGGTCATAACATTGAATCCGTATTAAAAAGCATAATATCTGCATTACCTACCTACCTACATACCTAAGTTAATAGAGTCTGGAAGTGTTGAAAATCTCCATGCTAAAATATTTCGGGTATTCCCAGTTGTAACACTATATTGCACCACTCTCTGGGCCCTTCGTCACAGGTTGTCTCTTTGCGTACGCATCAGTAGTTTCTTTGATCATATCATCGTAATCAAAATGCCAAATTTTGAACGAACGGTCTCGAACCTCTTCAAAGCACGTCTCGGCCTTGATCCACTTGCTCTTGTCACTCCAGTCGATCTGTTGATTCAAGTCACACATGCGACGGCTGCTGTTGACGAGCCACTGGCCTCGAGTTCGCCGCATAAAATCAAAGACCTCGAATGCCGAGCATACTGCTGCGTTTTTATTTTTCGACGCCGACTCATCCCCCCTCAGCCTGTCGTTGACTTGGCTCATTAGCGTGCATAAGCACAGGGCGTCTTCGATGCCACAGCAGGCACCGGCGCCATGGTGTGGGCTTGATGCGTGTGCAGCATCGCCAGCCAAGCAGATATTTCCTTTGTTGAAGTAAGGCGCTGGATAGTCCCACGTGTCGAACACCGCCCACTTCTCAAGCTTTTCTGGAAAGTGTTGTATGAGGGTACGAAGACAAGGGTTCCAGTCTGCGAACGCGATCTCTAGATCTTTCCTAAGTCCCGGTACGACCGTTACCTTGTCGTCTGGCCACTCGCCGGGATCCGTTAAAAAAGCTGTGGCATTGATCATGGTCTTATTCGCAACCGGGTAGTGAATGAGATAGGCATTTGGCCCTATGTGATTGTGCTGGTTTCTGGCTTTATACTCTCCTAGAGCCTCGACGGCTTTTTCCATCGGAACTAAGGCGCGATACGCAACCTTATGGCTATAATGAGGATAAGAAGCCGGGTCTTCTTCTCCCAGCATGAGTTCTCTTACTCGTGACTTGATGCCATCACACCCAATGACTTGAACGAAACTCCAGTCAGCACCTAGCGACAAGCTAGCTACAAGCTAGCTACAAGCTAGCTTTGGGAGTGCACGTAGACGGATACGGAAGACTTACCAGCATCAGCCTCTGCAGATGTCCCATCAGCAAAATTAAGCTGGATCCTCCCGTTAGGGCCTTTCTCTTCGATGTTATTTAGGCGCTTCTTCAGTTCTACAATTTCCGGCGGTATGACCTTCACCAAGGCCTCCAAGAACTGGTCACGTCGTGTCCCCTCAAAGCCCCTGTGGCCCGCACTTAATCTGTAAAGCATCTTCTCGTATGTGGGGTCATCCTTGTCGCGGCTATTGAAGCCGTCGATCCATGTAAGGTAAACATTCGGGTCGTCCTTATCTGAAGAAGCGGGAACGGCGCCACCCGACCGTAGAGCACTGACGATATCGGGGTTCATCAGGCTCATACATTGTACAGCATTTGCTGTAAAAGCCATGCCAGCGCCTATCTCCCGGAAACCTTGCGCTTGCTCGTAGACTTTGACTTTAACATTGTGTTTGATAAGACCAGCTGCGAGGGATAATCCAATGATGCCACCACCAACGATGGCGACCTCAATCGAAGTATCCTCGATTATTCCTGGCATAATAAAGTATAATGTAATCCCGCCAATAAATTTTGCTTGTGTAAAATAAATATTCTGATAATAATTTGATGAGCTTCGATAATAAACGGGGCGGTAGAACACCACGTAGAAGAGGGGTTCCGGAAACTATATTAATGCCCAGCTTTCCCTTTGCGAGGAACAAGTAGCATGGTGGCTGAGTCACGATGCTAGTTCTAGCAGTGATACTCCTATATCGAATTCTTTCCTAAGACATGGTACGCGGTGGAGTTTTACACTGGAAAATATGTGACGGAGTAACTAGCTTCCCGAGGAGTAATGTTCCGCGGATTATAGGTACCGCAACCGCCGGGCCGTGCAATTGTCAGCCAGTCACAGCTCTACGGCTTAAGCCATTGATACAAACTTTGAATTATACTGAAATATCTTATTACGTAGGTACCTAGGTCAACATCGCCTTTCAATAGACCACCGCCCTATATACTTCATATGGCTTATATGATATTTGGGGTGGCCTCATAGTAGTCTACCGGTATGATATAGCACCAGAAAGTAGATATCAACTTTGAAGTACCCGAAAATATATCTGATGGGTTTCAAAATATAGTACGTAAAGGATAACGACAATGCGTAGAGCGCCAAGAACCAGGTTCTACGCTCTTAAAATATGTACGGAAAGCAGAGTAGAATAAATCCGAAATCCTTCTTGATTGAGTAACTCCTGGAGGATAACACTAACAGGAGAAGAAAGGGAAAAAAGGGCTCAGATGGTATTACCAGCGGAGTTTTTATCAAACGCAGGACCGGTATTGCAACTTGATACGTACCTACCTACCTAACTATCTACTCTAGCTCACCAGGTCCTCGCGGATATCGTTTCTCCATCCTGGACCTTTCGCGTACAACTTCCACCCGTGTTATTCCTTATCTCGTGTTGCTCGCTTGCGGTGCAGCCTTGGATGCGTGTACTGTAGTAGCGTTTAATGATTTGCCGCATTTCATGTTCTTCCCTCCTTAGCGGGTCATGAACCTACACTTGCAATCCAATAGCACCTACACATTGTGCAACACAGTACCTGAGATAAGCTGGCGGTCCGATGTAACTGATTTCTTTACCTTTCTCCAGGGCCGAAGGTAACGTCGTCGGTTAGTAACAAGCTGAATATTGGGAGTGCACTTTATCGCCCTACCTTATATCATATTATATCTATTGCCCGACCTTAGATTGTTGATCCAGAATTTCCAAAACATCTGCAGCAGAGTAGTCTCTTGTTCATTTTCTTACATTATAAGATAGAGACCTCCGTGGTAACACAACTTTGCTTGTTTCCATCATTCTTGGCCAATACTCCCTCACCACCAGAACACATTGAGTAGCGCCTTCATATATTCTAGTTTCAGAGTTAGAATCCTGTACTATTAGACGTGCTATGGTCGTTATCGTCCCATAGGTCACTCACACAAACGCGGATTTCAACACTTGATTCGACAACTACAATTCAACTTTCCAACAATAACAACAACAACATCTATCGACGAACATCATGATCGATATGGGAGACCGTCGAAGAGGCCCTTTCTCTGGGCCCACTATCCTGCTGTTCGGTCCGCTGGCTTTGTCTTTTAGCGAGGCATCTTTCGCCCAGGTCCGTAAAGCAGTAACCGATAACGACGAGTTCCGTTGGGCTATCGACACCGTTTCCGAATTCCCTGAAATATGGAAGTCCCTCACTACTTTTATTCCCAGCCTCAAGACCGCATCGGCACTTGACCAACTGGAGGACCTGAGTGATGCCTTTCGAACAGGACGGTCGCTCGAAATTCCCTTCCCCCTCCCGAACAAACTTCTCATCCCGCTGGTCATCATTTCCCATCTCACTCAATACGCCACTGCTTTGTGTAGCAGAGCTGAGGGGCAACATGTTGACCCATTCAATGCATTCAGATCAGACAGAGAGACGCTCGGACTTTGTACCGGACTTCTGAGTGCCTTCGCTGTTTCTAGTACAGGCGACAAGGAGGATTTCAAGAAGTATGCTTCTGTCGCTGTGCGATTGGCCATGCTGATCGGTACTGTCATCGATGCTCAAGACGAAGTTACCGAACCCTCCAAGTCCCTTAGTGCTATATGGAACTCCGCGAGAAGTGGCGAAGAGCTGCGACATATTATCGAGAGCTTTCCAGGGGTAAGTCTAACTTTACTCATCACACCAATGGGGGAAACTCCTTACGGTGCCACGATTATCCCCTAACCCCTTTTGTGGCTTTGAGTCTAATTTGACGATGCAGACGTACATTTCAGTTAACTATGACGAGAACCGCGCCACCATCACGACGAAGGCTTCCGCTCTTCCCAAGTTGCAACAACAGCTAAGGGGTGCTGGCCTTATCGCTTCGGAAGTTAGTCTCTATGGACGCTTCCATTCTGACATCAATATCGAGAAATTGGTATTGCTCACAGAGTTTGTCGACACCCACGTCGAGTTTCAGTTCCCAGACGCTGCATCAGGCCTTGTACTACCCACCCGGTCAAACTGCGGAGGCGAACTAATCACGCGGGGTCCGCTGCACCATCACGCATTGCAGTCCATCCTGACAGAGGCACCACGGTGGTTTCAAACCATGTCGACTGTCCGTGAGAATGTTCTGAAAAGTAAGGACTCGTACATCTTATCCTTCGGCCCCGAGCGCGCCGTGCCGCCATCACTTTTTCGCGATCTCAATTCTCAGGTATTGCATATGGCTGATCTGGAGAGTACTGCTTCGCGATGCGAGGCTTTCCCCGAGAACGATTTGCGGCCGTTCTCCGATAACGACGTTGCCGTTGTGGGTATGTCAATCAAGGTGGCTGGCGCCGAGACCTTAGATGACTTCTGGGACCTTTTGGTCTCCGCTAAGTCGCAGCACAAGGAAGTGCCAAAAGAGCGGTTTTCTTTCGAGACTGCTTTCCGTGATGTTGACCCCAAGAGAAAGTGGTTTGGAAACTTTATCGAGAACTACGACAAGTTCGACCACAAATTCTTCAAGAAGAGCCCTCGAGAAAGCTCAACTATGGATCCACAGCAACGTCAGTTCCTCCAGTGCGCCTATCAAGCTCTAGAGCAGTCCGGCTATTTTCATTCTCCCGAGCCAGACAACAAAGTAGGATGTTTTGTTGGTGTCTGTTCTCGCGATTATGATTGTAATATCGCTTGCCATTCGGCTAATGCATTCTCTGCTACTGGTAATCTGCAGAGTTTCATCTCTGGTAAGGTTAGTCACTATTTTGGTTGGACTGGTCCCGGCTTAACGATCGATACGGCCTGCTCCTCTTCAGCTGTAGCTATCCACCAAGCCTGCCGTGCGATAATCACTGGAGAATGTACCGCCGCCCTTGCTGGTGGCACCAACCTTGTGACTAACCCCTTATGGTTTCAAAATCTAGCAGGGGCATCGTTCTTGAGCACGACTGGCCCATGTAAACCATTCGATGCTAAGGCAGATGGTTACTGCAGAGGTGAAGGGGTAGGTGCAGTATACTTGAAGAAACTATCTGCTGCTGTGGCCGATGGCGATCAGATACTTGGTCTCGTCGCAGCGACAGGTGTGCAGCAAAATGAGAACTGTACTCCCATCTTCGTCCCGAATGCGCCGTCTCTTGCGGATCTTTTCCAGGCCGTCACTAAAAGGGCTCGGCTCAACCCCTCTCAAATATCAGTTATCGAAGCACATGGCACCGGTACCTCCGTTGGCGACCCGGCCGAGTACGACGGCCTACGACGAGTGTTGGGTGGCCCTGCTTCTGGGCGGAATGAGGATATTCTGCTAGGATCGGTGAAGGGCCTCGTCGGCCATACCGAGGCCGCCTCAGGGGTTGTGTCCATGATCAAAACCATCCTTATGATCCAAAAAGGTTTGGTCCCAGCCCAACCCAGCTACACTTCTCTGAATCCGGCCATTGGGGCGACCCCGGCCGATAAGATGAGCATCCCTACGAGTTTACAGAGGTGGGACACCAAATTCCGAGCTGCCCTGATCAACAATTACGGCGCCTCCGGTTCCAACGCTTCAATGATCCTCACGCAATCCCCATTTGTTAATGCCAAGGTAACAAAAGATACCTCAAAGGTTCCGGCCGGTGTTAAGTATCCATTTTGGCTCCCAGGTTTAGACGACCAAAGTCTCCGTCGGTATAGCAAGGCTTTCCGCAGGTTTATCAACAAAGAAAATAACCCGGCAACGGATTTCTTCCTCTCTAATGTTTCCTTCAACTTGGCCCGTCAGAGCAACCGGTCTCTTGACAAGGCGGTCCTATTCAGCGTGCGTTCAATAGAGGAGCTTGACCAGAAGCTAAGTTCTCTGGAGAGAGGCGATTCTAGCATGATACCCATTACTCGGCCTGGCCCTAAACCCGTTGTGCTCTGCTTTGGGGGCCAGGTATCGACTTTCGTAGGTCTGGACAAAGGCCTGTACGAAAGAATGGCTGTTCTGCGAAAACATCTAAACAATGTCGACGTGGTCGTTCGTCTGAATGGCGCAAGCAGTATCTTCCCTGGAATATTCGAAAGTTCACCCATTCAGGATATCGTCCAGTTGCAGACGATGCTCTTTGCTATTCAATACGCCTGCGCAAGATGTTGGATCGAATCGGGCATTAAACCTGTAGCAGTGGTCGGCCATAGTTTTGGCGAACTCACTGCGCTCGCTATCTCGCAGGCGCTTTCGCTAGAAGACGCTGTGAAGTTGATAGTGCACCGTGCGACGCTTGTCCGTGATGCCTGGGGTAGTGAGAAGGGCGCTATGATGGCTGTGGAGGCCGACTCTGACGATATTGAGAAGCTACTTTCAGAGTCAAACAGCAAAGTCCCGCAAGAGAAGCCTGCGAGCATTGCCTGCTACAATGGGCCACGAAGCTTTACTGTGGCCGGTTCTGTTGCAGCAGTTGACGCAGTTGCTGCCACTATATCGCCGTCGCTGAGATCGAAGAGATTGAATGTCACAAATTCGTTTCATTGCGCCCTCGTTGATCCGCTTGTGGAGGCATTGGAGCAAGTTGGAAAGTCGCTTACATTTCGCAAGCCGTCTATTCCCATAGAAAGAGCTTCTGAGTTCGCAAACGAGGAGAGGTACACGGCCAAGTTCGTTGCTGATCATATGCGCCAGCCCGTCTATTTTAACCATGCTATTCAGCGACTCTCTAAGAAGTACCCATCTGCCATTTTCTTGGAAGCTGGCTCCAACTCTACCATTACCTCCATGGCGAGTCGTGCGCTTGGAAGTCCCGGTGATATTCACTTCCAAGCTATTAACATCACGAACAGTGACA